TCCTCATTGCATCTACTTTCGGAAGGCCAAATAAAGTGCTTTTGCTTTCGCACTGAAACACAGCGTCTCCCTGACATGGCTGCATCAACACTACTGCTATTCCTGAAACCACGCCTTCTTTCTTTGCATGAACATTTGGGCAGCATTACGCAAATATTTCCACATCGTGATTCATGACGTAGAGATGTGGGGGTGTGTTTGAATGAGGCGATTATGACTTTAGCCGGATTAAGGTAATCAAAAAAATCTCCATTTACATGGTAGATTCTTAATCAGAGTATTGTCTTAATTGTATTAAAATCGGAGTATTGTTGTCCATGTAAACGTACTGATTGTCCAATTCTCACCAAATTTGGCTCCTGACCTAAAGACCTCTATGACAAAATAGAATTTTTTAATATTCAAAACCATGCTGTCACAGCTATAGCTATACTGGGCTGTGTTGACTTAATGTGGCATTTCTTTTTGGCAAATGTCGAAGTTGTGGCAGTGTGATGTGTTTGTTAAAGATCTGTGCTGGAGGTCAGGACATTGTTAGTTCAAATCCCACATGTAGTGACTCATGAAGCATTCTTGTTTCATTCTTCCCTTTGAGTTATGTGTTGTGGTGAGTACATGTTTTTCCTTAATGATGTTGTCAGGATTGGAAACTGGAATCTGAAGGGCAGCGAGGTGAATCAAGGACTGATCAGATGGACTCCTTCTAACGAACTGAGAGAAATAATGCATAATTATTAACCTGAGGACATTTACCTGTTGTGTACTTTTCTGGCAGTACAGCCATGTCATTTACCCCCTGCTGATTTCTGTTTTGAGGAAATCTCAGTCGGGAACTATTCCTCCATAATATACTTTTGTGTTGCAATTCACTTTTCCATTGTCTGCTCTGTCCATCTTTCTGATGACTTGCCCTGAGTCCAGGAGAGGCCAGGTGCCTGTCGGTAGAAACAGGAATTGCTCCTATTAAGCGTGGTGCTCATAAACCTGAGATACGTCAATGGAGCAGACATCCATCATCTAGCCGTCTTATCAAGATATTTCCCTGATGGCAGCATATGGCTAGAAGACGGAAATCATTTATTTTACGACCATGGCACCCACTCACAGGGTTGCTCTGTAGTCTACCTTTAAAGAACCCTTTAAAAAGGCCAGTAAAAGACAAAAATACCACCAATCTTCATCTACCTTCCAAAGTGCTGATTAGAGAACTTGAACCTTCTCCTTCATAATCCAAACCATTTTAGCTGAAATGGAGCAGAGAAAGTCTCACTACTTTTTAAATATATTTGTAGTTAACTGGGATTTAATAATCAACAACAGACTGCATTTTTTAAAGTTTATTTCCTGGCCTAAAAAAGACCAGTCGACAGCATTTGTGACTTAATGTTGATTACCACAAAAAAAAAAAAATAATAAATAAAATACTACAGTACGATGAAAGTGGATGGGGCCAATGCACACATGTTAAAATACTCACTGTTTCCACATTATAGCAACAAGACAAACAATTTCCACGTTAACATGATTTTAGTGTGAAAATCACTTACAAACCTTTTCTGTGTAAAGTTACCCTACTGCTCAAAAGTTTGGGGTCAGTAAGAGTTTTTTTTTGTTTTTTGTTTCTGTTTTTAGCAATTCTGTTCAGCAAGGACGTATTAAATTGGTCAAAGGACAGTAAAGACATTTTACATATGACATTGTTACAAAGGATTTCTATTTCAAATAAATGCTGTAACTTTCTATTCATCAAAGAATCTTGAAAAATGTATCATGGTTTCCACATAAATATTAAGCATTACATTTTTTATTAAATATTAAAATGTAACTTTTTTTAACATTGATAATAATAAGAAATGTTTCTTATTGTCATTAATATGCACCAAATCAATCATGATTTCTGAAGCATCATGTGACACTGAAGACTTTGCATCACAGAAATAAATTACATTTTTAAATATATTTGAATAGAAAACAGTTATTTAAAAATGTTAATAATATTTCATAATATTACAGTTTTACTGTATATCCTAAAGTAAGAGAATTCTTTCAAAAACATTAAAAAATCGTACAAACTCCAAAGTTTTGAACGGTAGCGTATATCCAATTTTACAGCTCCGTCATCAAGAAACTAATGCCATAAACCATAAATGACAGTAAAAATTAATAAATGTGAATGAATGTTTTTTTTATGCTTTTAAATCATCTAAAAACTGGCCCTATTTACATCCACATACTTCCAAAGTGCCTTTTATAACCTCCATTAAAAAAAAAAAAAAAAAAACAAGAGACCAATTGTATTTTATTTATTTATTTTTGTGTTGAAATCAACATTATGCCACAGCTGCTGTCAACTGAGCTTAACTTGCATTGAACCCAGAATATTACTTCAAGACAGTAAAGACACACAATTTCATACCTTGTTTAGCTGTTTGAACTTAAATATTTAACAAGTCAAGGGCTCCTCAATAAAAGTCGTATTATGCTCTCAGCGATTTAATTTTTGATAAGAATCACCTACTCTGGGAAATGGAAATGGGGCCATTGTGTAATGACTCTTCACACCAATGCAGCTGCAGGTCTTTAAGCTGTCAAGAAACCTGTTACAGTACCAAGCACTCACTCTCCCTTCTTCATCACCATCCCCTCCCTCCTCAGCAATACAGTCATAACCGCTCAGCCATCTCACAGCGTTCACTCTCACTGCCAAACATCCCACCTTTCAGCTACTGAAAGCCTCATATGTGGCTTTTTAAAGTAACCTCTGCCACCGAGAGCTCATTCTTCTCTCCCTTTCCTGTTTAGTGCCACTCTAGGAAACATCCATTAAATGCATCAATACAATCTGAGAGAAATGGAGGCTGTTGAGAGGGCTGTGGCCTTCAACACGGTTTCAGTGGAGGCGTGAGATATCAACTAATAAATAGGCCTATGTTCATCTTCTGTTTGTTTGGACGTGTGGACTTGGCATAGAAACTTTTAAGGGGTTTTTAGTGATACGCAAATGAAGCCACATGCACATTATCAACAACTAGAAGCTGACACTTTCACCAAGCACCTGAGACAAACAAGCATGGTGACATTTGCAACCATCCCCCTTTTAGTTTTACACGTCTCATGCTGTGAGAACAGGCTAACACTTGCTAACATTTGATATTAATCAGTCTACGGTGCATTGAGTCTCTGCCACCCACAAGAATTTAGCTGAAGTGCTCCTGAGTCGTAACCCTGAGTCAGTTAAATGCCATATGGGCTCTTGGTTTCGGGAGAAATGTAAAGATCTGAATTATTCATAATCCTTCAAACACCTTAGAAGTGCCTAGGTGACTCCATCAAAGGTATCTGGGTACCAGAGTCCCAGTGGGTATTTCACAGCTCGTCTGATCTTTCCAGCAGATGGAAGAACACTGCATTAAAGATATTCTTTCAAAAGCAACATCAAAAAACATATACACAGAATCTAGACGAGGTACCATAGAATTATATATGGATTTTGCTGAAGCTGAACGACTGAAGTGTACTGAGACTTGCAAGATGTTTCAGTATGCTGTTAGTGATAATTGTGGAAATGTAATGCTGACAAAAAAGAACGATTTAGGACAAGAAATAATATATAAAATATTTCTGCTAATCTGCCATTTTGAGTGGAGCTATCATGCCTTTTTGATGGTTTTTAGGTGAGTATATGTAATATGCTCACAGATTTAAGGGTATTACAGATTCCAAATGCATTCGCTCTGACAAGAACCATGGTGACTGGTACAAGGTAATCCATTCTAACTTAAAGTAGACACATTTCAGAAGGTAAAATGAAATAATATTAATAATAAAAATGCTCTTTGAATGTTTACCTGGATATAAACTATAAACTATATATAAAGTAAAAAATATAAAAGATTGTATGTACAGTATTTTTGTAGCTTAAACTGTAGAGCATGGCATTAGCAGTGGCAAGGGAATGCTTTTGATTCCCAGGGAATGCCTGAAGTAATGAAATGTAGCCTATACCTTGAAAGCAACTTACAGTAGGTCTTTTTGGATAAAAGTGTTCACCAAATGCATAAATGTAAAATGTAAATATTGCTAAGTAACTACAGTATATAAGAGTCTAACACTGCTATTTGTTTCCAGCTTTAACCCTGTAAAGCCTGCTGTATCAAGTTTGATACCCAAATTTCTAAGGCCTCTAAAATATCAACATGATCAAAACTTTGCCAAAAACATGTATACAATCTATTACATGTTACTTCATTGTTGTGTGATAGAAAATTTATATTTTTTTAAGCAAGTAAAAGGCCTTTTAGTATCATTCTAAAATGTCAGTGTCTGTTTGTTGTAAATTTATAAAGTAAATGTAACAATACATTTTATTTTTTTAGCAATCAATCAAGATGAAAACTGAACTAATTACTACTGGACTAATTCAACTTAGGTTGACTTGATTATCCATAGATAATTTGTAGAAAAATCATGTTAAAATGTATGATACATCACTGTATTGCATTTTTATTTTTGCCCCCCCCCCCCCCACAATAATAAGAAAAAAAAATACAGAGCTTTGATCATAAAACTACGTATTTAAATATCATCTTACTAAGACATATTATAATAAGACATAGATTGACAACTGATATTTACATGCATTTTATACACAGTTAGAAGTCAGAATCTCATCTTACTTTTTAGCCATACAAATAACAACATCTGCATCAAATTTCATATGTTTGCTCACTTTGGGCCTCCGTCAGTTTTCCTTCTAGAGTGTGAGCTCCATATACGCCTATATCATACTATATGAGCCATAAAAGCCTGATGTATCATATATTATACTGAACATAAAACACATGTTTTAACACTCAAATCTTTTTAGATTTTATCACAAATTAAAAAAAAAAAGATAAATAAATAAATACTTTTTTATATTGTTAATCATTTTTATCATGTAATTTTTTGCACTAGATAGAAACAACTTCTTTGGGAAGATTTAAACCATTTCAACTCACCACATTGAGTTTGAGCTCCATGTTGAGGACACCTCCACTGTCCAGCACCGGCATTAGGTTGATGGCAAATATCGCTGCCCGGTCTGGAGGGATGGAGATGTTGGGTCCAAAAAAGATGTAGAAATGAACTGAAAATGTGTCCAGTTCATTCCGCAGCGTTGGCCGGATGGGCCAGCATTTATTTGTGTCTGCCATGGGTGCTAAGTAAGTGATGCTTTCTTCAGCAGTTAACAGCGATCCTTGATCCAAAGGGTTCTGTGGCACGTTAGGCAGGCTGGCAGCCGGCAGGGTATCTGACAGAGAGAACCCCATCGCAGTGCCAAATGACTGGGGCATGTTCATGGCTGAGGAGCCTTTGGAGACGCTGGGCTTGGAACAGTCTGCAGAGAAAAGATCAAAGGAGGTGTTTAAAATTGGGACGGCACACATTTTCCACTGAGGAACTTGAAGGTGAAGCTAGTTACGAGAGAAGTGAAATAAGAATGAAATAAAGATGTTTTGAATTCTGACGAATCCCTTGACTGAAGCTGACAGCTCAAACTCTCCACTCAGGTTACTCTGAGGCTAAAAGCATCTTCCTGTCATTCCCGTCCTTTTGTGCTAGATCAAACTAGCATTTCAGCAGAGACATACTTTTTTCAGTTCCATGCATATGCTTAGATGTCTGCGGTGAGATGGCAGGCCAAATGATTGCTGAGTGTCTATCTAGTCTGAAATGATCTAAGTGGGGTGTATGTTGTTTTGTAGGACCAAAAAAAGGCCAAGGGAATGTTCGTTTCATCATATTTCCTTTTATTGGTCTCTCAGCTCTACACATGCCACACACACACACCCTTTAAACCCTTGTATTTGGAGTTTAAAGTCTTCATTCAAATAATGACAAATTTTTTGCATTACAAAAACAGTGTGTCCCATAACACATAAAAACGAGGTCATGATTGTTCTTAACATCTTTTAATTGTGGGCTTTGTCATAACATGGTACGTTATAAATTAGACAGGATTTTGGAACACACTTTGATTAAATGTAAATTTGCAAAACAATGCTGCGGAATTGAGATAACTAATTGGCACTGATGAGGACAATAAGGAAATTCTCCACACATTTCACCGTTTTCTGATTACCTCAGGGTGTGAACGTTCAGTTATGCTACTGGGGACTCGGGAGTCTTACAGTCATATTTCTCTTCGCACCCACAATTATTGCAAAATGCAGTGAATCGGGTGGAAAGGGTTCATTATTGAAATGCCAAGTCGCTTTCCCCCCACAGCTCTGTTTGCTGTGTTGTTGCTTACATATCTTGCTCTCTCACTTCTCTTTCTGGTTCATTTTTCATCCAACCATTGAGCCAGTGATGAGGGAATGTTTACAAAAGTTACACCATGATTTTAGATTCAAATTAAGTTTTTTTTTCCCACATCCAGAATCCAAAGACAGTTCTGATGAGAAACCTCATCAGACTCAAAAGCGGATTATTATTACTGCGGGTGGATGGGGTAATTAAACGTCAGTCACTGAAGAGCTCTACCTGGATTCTGGCGACCTAAATGTTTTATGTAGCACCGCATCACAGGAGAGCAGAATGTACATCATTGATTTTCATTTTAATGAATGATCACAATCTATGGAACAATTATTGAACATGAATCAACAATAATTAGAACTATGAGTTGAGATTCAAATGCTATATATGTCACAGAAAATTATTAAATACATACTACCATTCAAAAGTTTGTGGTCAATAATGTATACATTTTTTATTAATAAGGACTGAATTGACAATAAAGACATTTATAATGTTCCAAAAGATTTCTAAAATATTTTCTATTTATCAAAGAATTCTGAAAAAAATATATCAGAGTTTCCAGAGAAAAAAATATTAAGCAGCACTGTTTTCTACATTGATAATAATAAGAAATGTTTTTTGAGCACCAAATCAGCATATCAGAATGATTTCTGAAGGATCATGTGACACTGACAACTGGAGTAATGGCTGTTAAAAATTCAGCTTAGTCATTAATACATAACTTTTAAAATATATTCACAGAAATATATTACACAGAAAATTTTAGTTAAAATTGTATTAATATTCATAACCTCAAACGTTTGAACGCTAGTGTATACACACACACACACACACACACACAATACTGTTCAAAAATAAATTGTCATTGAAGGGTGAAATTAGCAAAAACATCTCAACAAAACCTGCCATGCCTGAGTCTTGATTAGTACACGAATCCTGCAGCATTTATAAGCCCTCATAGTCTGATCAAATCAACCTTTTTTGCTCCTCTGTAATTACATCTATTTGCCATAAAATGCCATTATAATTCTTGCTGACAAAAGCAATGATGGACAAAAGATCACAGTTAGTGAGCAAAGGGCTCGCACTTGAACATGCCATCAGGTTCAGGATGAGGATGTGTCATTGTATTCTATTCAGCACCTGTTTGGCCACAGGCCCCACAGCTGAAGGTTAGCTGTATACGTACAGCTCAGGCTATGAAACATGAATCCCTGACTCATTCTCTAACTTACCATTGTCTACATAGATATAGTGTGGAACAATATAAAGAGAAAGTGTCAAAGATTTCTTTGTCAAGAGATGGTTACCTAGCAACCAAACATTCAATAAGCTCATAACAACGTCAACGTAGCTTTCCTGGCAAGAGTTTCACATGAAAATATATAACTCTATGTATACTTGCATTTCTGAAAATAGCTCAACACAATCCAGTGTTCCCTGACGTTTGAGAAAAGCAAATGTGGAAAACAATTTGGATTATGATGGATTTGCACTAAATTAGTTTACAGTAGTTGCACACCAATTAAACTGTAGATGATTTATGGGATGACATTGTCATGTGTTATCAAGATGATGATGATCTCCACACAAATAATATTAACTGTTCACCACTGGAGGGGGAAATCATCACAGACATTAAGAGACACAGCATCTTATGTACATTTTGTAAGCCTTACACTTATAAAAGTATGCAAAAAACAAACAAATACTAGAAACAACTGACATACATATACTACCAAGTTTAGGGTTAGTACGATTTTTTTAATGTTCGTGAAAGAAGTCTCTCGTCCTCCATTAGGCTACATTTATATGATTAAAAAACACAGTAAAGTAACTGTTTTCTATTTTAATATATTTTAAAATGTAATATATTCCCATGATGGCAAAGCTGAACATTCAGCAATCATTACTCCAGTCTGTGTCATCATGTCACGTGATCCTTCGGAAATCATTCTAATATTGCTGCTTAAGAAACATTTCTTATTATTAGAAAACAGTTGTGCTGCTTAATATTTTTGTGGAAACAGTGACTGATTTTTTTTTCAGGATTCTTTGATGAATAGAAAGCTCAAAAGATCAGCATTTTTAAATAGAAATCTTTGAAATGTATTTACTGTCAATTCAATATCAATTTAATGCATCTTTGTTGAATAAAAGTATTAATTACTATCAAAAAAGTACTGATTTGAAAAGTACTGTATATAAACACAAATATACCATAAAAATAAGCAAGAATACATAACAGGGTAAGACTAGTGTAATCACTGAAACACCTTGCATACACTGCCATTAGTCAACACTGGTTCTCATGATTCAGGTTATTTTTGGCCAAAAGTGCATATCAGCAAATAACCAAATGTGAACATGTCATAATTCAAGGAATATCAATACTGTAAATCAAGCAAGTTACAGGAAGAAACAGAAATAAAATGTCAAAAAGTAAGTAAATGTCAATAAAAGAAAGAATGAAAAGAATGGGTGTGTTTTAGGGTCAAATGCAGTCCATGTTAGCCAAATGCTAGCCAAATCACACATAGCCTACACATATGGGCTGTTATGTAAAGGCTGCTTTTATCAACAGCTCTGTGGGCACATAAAATATTCAAAAGTTGTGTGATGTATTTGTCAAGGGAGGCTACATTCAGTGCTGCTTTTCACAGGTACCTTTACACTATGGGAAACAAAGTTCACCTCCCACTGGATATTCAGCTCAAGATTAATCTGAATTCATCTGCAGTAACCCATCTCTCTTGAGGGTCTTACAACATCTCACAACAGTTAAAAGTGTTTTGATACTGACAGACTGACATGACGTCATCAAGCAGAAGAAAAAAATCCTCAGGAAAAGCACAAGCAGTATAAAGTATGTAGGTATATATTTTTCATGAAATCCACTCCTGGAGACCCACAAACCCTGACACTAAAGCCAGCACAGACCTTTTGCAGCAATATACTGCCATCAGATTGCTGCAAACAACTCCTCCATGTTATTCGCTTGTGGCTGTCAGCGAGCACTTGTTCATTTCTCTATGTCAGAATCGTAACCGAACGCAAAACAAAGAAGAGGCATCTTTGTCGGATGTATCTAGGATGCATTTCCTGAGGCGTTATCTTTGGACCACCAAGGCCTAATATTACACTCGCAGGTCTTCTGGGAACAAACTTCAGCTCGCAAGTTGAAAACAAGACTGGCTTCTGACCGTTTCGTGAACCCAGCATCTGGTGATATAAATGCATGCAAAACTGCCTTCTAGGGCTCTGAGATTTCCTCCCTGAGACCTAGGTAGATCAAAGTTTCACTTCTTAACTAGTGCTCACGGCTAATGCAAGCTCAGTTTAGCTAAGTACCACTTTAATGGCACTCCTAATATGTATGATCAAATGTTTCACAAAGAGTGCCTGGGAGAATAAGCCTGTATTGTTATGCAACTTACATGTAATTTATTACACTCACCTCTGCTAATAAATGTTTTTGTTTCATGTGGTGATTTCTTTAGGTTCAAGATATAGATTTAGTGTTCAATGAATGATGTGTATTAGATCATTCACAGATTAACTATAGCATAAACTGTTCATTTCATCCTTAATGTGGGATTGGAGGATCGTGGTGAGGTTTCTCATCTGTGGATCAATATCTTGCAACAAAAGTCAATCATAAAAGCACACAAAAGGTTAAAAGGTTTATGTAGTGATGATGAAAAACAAAGAAAACATCATGCTGAATGCAGAGTAAGAGTGCAACTCGTCTCTCATGCTGAGTTACTTAAATGACCCCATTATCTGTGTGTCTCTGATGGAGCGAAGTCATTTCTGCCACGGCTGTCCACCAGGTTATTGTTTCTCTTTTTCTTCCTGAGCCCTCGTTGGGCTCAGTATTGATTCAAATGCAATGCGAAAAGAGTGAATAATGTCACTGAGATTAAAAAGGCAATATCTGTTACTGAGGAAACAGGTGGCTGGGCTACTGAGCACTCATTTCTTTTCCTTCTTTCGTATTGACATTCATCCATCTGTTAGGGATGTGCAAAACTACATACTTTCAAAATCGACTATTTATCCATCCATCCATCC